CCTGCTGTGTGGTGGTGATTTGTATGGCCCCAAAATGTCAGCTACTTTCATCACTAGCACCAATGCGATGGTGGCTGTACAAATGCTTCAGATATTAGAACTTCACTTTTGATCCCAAGGCTAGAGAGCAAAGGAATGCTAGTCAGAAGGAAAGCAGTTATTTGGTCCGTTTACATTATCCTGGCCTTCCTATACAAACAAACAGCAGACATTCACAATACTTAAAACAAGGAACCATGAAACAGACTTGTCTAAGATGACTCTGGTAATTCACTGCTTCCACTTTCACAGCCAGATACTGTAGAACAGATATTATATTTGCTTCAAATACCAGTGACTCTAGCCTCAGAGGAACTGAAACAGAGAATCTTGCACTGGAAGATGAAAAATCAGAAAGCCCCATTTTGCATGAAGCTCGCTGTTCTTTGAGACGTCAATGCGCAGCCTCTCCTCACCTCTCTCTCTCCTCCTCCGTTCCTCCCCAACTTCGTCTTTCCTGCCAAAGAGGTGCGCACGGGAGGTGCTCTTTGTGCCTAGGGCCCTGAGGTGCTGCCTGCCCTGTCCGGGGTGGGGGGTAACAGGACCGAACTGAAGGAAGGAGCGTTAAGCAGATCACAATAAAGGGCAGGGGTATTCCATGTTTTCTTGCATTCAGGAAAGGAAACATTGTAAGTCACTGGCATAGAAATGAGAAGCTGTCTCCAGAAATGTGGTTCTGCTCCCAAATAACCTTTAATTTAAAAGTATGATTGAGAGGGCGTCTGCGTTCCACACTTCCCAATCACATCACTATATATCAAGGCACACGATACATGAATAGTTCAAGAGGAATGCAGAGTAACAGACTCTTGTTTGACAGCAATCAGCAGATACATTCGATTCCAGCAATCTTTAGTACCTGTAAGGCTGAAAACACATCTCAAGATAAAGCAGTCATCAGGGAAGTGGTTCACTTGCTTTCTACTGGGGATGTATTTCCCCTTCAGTGGTGCTGCCTACTATCTAAAGAGGCACTGAGCTACTACACCTACACAAAGGATAACCGCCCTTTCAATTCAAGGTGAGGTGTAATTCCAGGAACGATGCGCTTATAAAATCTAAGAAAGGGTAGAAGAAAAAGAGGCAGACACTTATGTAGTCTGATAGGGCTTAACTGGTCCCTGCAAATGCAACTTTCAGACTTCAGCCATGCATTTGTCCAGGGAAGGTTCTGTCACTAAGCACCAACACCACGTTGGTCTTTAAAATCCTCAAAATGTTGGTTTTCTTTTTCATTTTGTTTTGTTTTGTTTTTTTCCTAAATTATGTCCTCCCTTTCTCTCTGGAAAAATCTTACAAAATTAAAAAAGTTACTCGGTCCTAAATTTAGACTCCAGATCTGGCAGACACTTCAGCATCCCTCGTTAGACATCGAAGTATTTTTCTGGCTTTCAGTGAATGCATACTGAGGTAGCATTGTTCCACAAATGAGATAATCTCCTCAGAACTTTAAAGCCACTTCAAGATTTCTATGTGCATATAAACAAATATAATAAATCTTGCTACAGATGAACAAATCTGATAGAAAGGTTGCATCTCTAGAGAAATTCTTCCATATTAATATTACAGGAAACAAACACCTACTAATGAGGTGTAAAGTACCTCAAAACTTTCACATCAAGTAAACAGAAGCGTCATTTTAAATATGAACACTTTCCTGAACTAGGACTTCAGTGGATAGTGTTCTCAGAGACACATGCTCCTTGTTTATTTGTCTTGCCTTACTGCCATGTATTTCAAACCAAATGCTAGCTTTTATCTCATGCTAACAACAGAAAGTAAAGGAAGAGTAAAAGAAAGGAAGAGTTTATATTCTTTAAACAAAAATTCCCAAGATAAGGAATCATGACAACTTGTTGGTTACATGGATATGACTAGTTTAGAGACTGCCACAGATGGAGAAACAGGAAAGAAGGCTGACCGTAATTTCATGTGGGACATTAGACTTGTTTTTTCCCTGTTCAATAAATTCTAGAAGTATAAAAAAAGTATAAAAGAAGGCCATGCAAATATCAGTGGAAGATTTCCTAAATGATACACTGACATTATTATCCAGTGACATCTATCTGAAGTAAATTATTTAAATTTATTAAAAAACAGTCAAGTGCAAGGAGGAAGCTCTCACATTCATCGGGGGGGATAAAGTTGGAGGCCTGCCTTGTAACTTTAAAAGGGACCAGAAGCCACCTCTTCCTGAATGTGAACCCTGGCAAAACACCACTGCGTTAACTTCTGACCTTTGGACAAGGTTTTATGCTCCCATAAGAATTACAAATTTAAGAAAGCATTCAAGAGTTCTGTAGTGGCTGTCGTTTTCATCGTGCTTGTGGCTGGGGTCGGTTTTGCGCACAGCTCTGCACTGCTGGCCCCGAGCAGAAGACGCCTGCCCTGTGCTGGCCGCAGTGTGACTTACTTTCCGAATCGGGAATTGAGCTTGTTAGTGAGGAGCTGGTAGATGTGGTGATGCTCATGGAGGGGCTCATACCGTAACGGGGGTACGCTCCCGTCATGGCTGTGGTATGAGAGATCCACGCTGCAGGGTCAATTGGCCTCACTGGTTCAGCTGCAAAACAACCAGAAAGGGAGAAAAAGACAAATGGAATGAGATTTGCAGTAAACACTAAGACCTAGAGGAAGAAGGAATTTTTTTGGGTTGCACAAGTCCTTGCCATTCTGATAGTACAACTGAGATAGCTGCAGCATGAGGGAGTAAAAAGCATCTTGCCAGCAGTAGCTGGTTTCCTGTAGCAATTACCACACCAGCCTGACAGGATAAAACCACGACACTTCTGTTCCTCTAACTGCGGTAGGAGTGAAATACTTCCCCTTGTGGGAAAGAAGCTACCAGTCCAGTAATAATATTTCAGTACTATTCTATACAGTGAGATAGAGATTCTCATTTTGCTATGATGTGAAGCACTACCAAACGCTTTGCCCCAGCTGACGGGAAGATCTCTCCCTACGTCTAAGGGTCTTGGATCCACAATAACCACTCAGACAGAAGGTGAATCTTCAGCTGAAGGTGAATCAGAACAGTAACTCTAGAGCTCTGTATTTGCAGAGATGAGGCATCATTGAACTCCCCTCAGCAGCCATAATGAAACTTTTTAGGACTGGAATAGTCTTGCAAAATAAATAGACAAGACATATAAAGACCATTTGAAGAGACTGGTGTCAGAGACGAATGAAAATTACACTCAGTTAAGGTCTGAAGAGCCACATAGCAAGTAATTTTTAAAGCTGGGAATAAAATTCGATTTTCCCCATAATCTGGATTACTTCTTTTCTTCCGAATTATAGTGGCTGTTGTTCCATTGCCTTAAAACCAGAAATTATGTAAAAGAGGTCTGCCTATGTTTGGTATTTCCTCAAAATATCCCACACATTATTGTAACCAGTTTAGCCTACAACAGCTATACCGCTGTTTGCCCCGGATAATAATGGATGCATCTTCGCTGAAAAAAGGACAAACTTATACAAGCTCTCCCTGTAGCAAATCTGAAATATGTGACCTGTGGGATTTTTGTTTCGATTGTGCTGGTTTTCCTAAGGACTTCACTGAGTGAGCTCCCATGGTCTGCACGAGTCTGGTGCATTGATTTCAATGGACAATGCTATTCTCATCTTCTAAGAAGGACTGGTAAGAAGCTGGTCTCAATGTCATAAGCAGAGCACCCACCAGTAGGAGGCAGCTGTGTTTCTCACATAAGCACAGATCTTTTACAGCTACTGAAAGGTTTATTAAGCCATGAGTTCTAAAACTAGATCATTTTCAAGAGGTTTTATGTATATTATGCCTCAAACTTTAAAAATACTGTTTAACTTCTTTCTAAGAAGTGCACATGTGACAAAATGAGGCTTTTTAACACTTAAGTATAGTTATCCTCCAAACTTTCTTTCAATTGAAAGGTTAAGATCATGAGGATATACCCGCCAAAAGGTTAAGAGCTTGGTCCAAAGCCATGTGAATCAAAACAAAAACTCCCATGAATTCAGTGGGTACTGGAGTCTCAGAAAGAGTACCTTAAACCTCTGCCTCCCAAAACAAAAAGCAAACAAACAATACAACCAAACTTAAAAGTACTGAACTTGTAGGGAAGGGAAATCTGCTCGATGCCACAATAGCTGAAAATATTCTCGACCTTGAGGGCTCCACAGGAACCCAGCAAAGAGCACAAATATGTACTCACCCCTGGGGATGGTGAAGTAACTCCTGGGAGTAGGGTCCCAGCATTTGGCTACTGTTAGGCTGATAGGTCTAGGAAGAAAGAAAACAAGGGTGACTCTTAACTTTCCCTCCAGAAGTTGTAACTGGTACAATGAACTCTTTGGAAGAAACTTATTCCTATCCGACAGTTGTCAGGTACATTCTGAGAATGCTTTTGAGATGCTTGCTGAAGTATTTTCAGCCTGAACCAGTATCAGGATGTTTTTGGTTTTGCATAGATCATGAGCACTATTGGTGAAATCTATCGAATGATCAGCTCTTGAGATATTAAAACGCTGATCGTATAAACAAATAGTGCTACTGAAACCAGGCAACTCCTAGTTTGAGTTGGTTTTGGCTGGTACATTGGAACAAGTCTCACCTTTTCATCATTTACCCTGAGAAGTTCAGAGTTGAGATCAGCAGCCACGCTGGTTGCTTATGGAGATCAAAATGTTGATTTCTCTGAGGTTTGCCCAATACCAATAACTGCATATGAAGGATAAGTAGCAAGAGATTTTTGTAATATTCTCACCCTGGTTTGGAGACTATTTCCCGTAAAACTCGTACTGCATCGTCATTGCTCATGTTCTCAAAATTGACATCGTTCACCTGAAATGTTGCAAAAAGCAGAGGTCAGGCTTTGAAACAGGAAAGTTAAAGACATTTTCATTATTTGTTTCCAAATTTATTTGCCTTGTAACTGTTTCCATTCCTTTGAGCAGCTGCAGAAATGTTGTTTCTCAGAGCATATCAACTATTCAGCAGAGTTCGCAAAGAATTATAGATTTAAGTGATAATAGTCTTTGTGACACATTTCTCTGAGTATGAATGAATTCTGTTAATTGAGCGCTATGTCCATGGATCTGGTGGGATGACTGAGCTGAGCCACCAATGGACAAGCCACCAGCACGTATATTTGGACACGGACCAACCTGCAGAAGCATGTCTCCTGGTTCAATTCGGCCATCTGCTGCCACAGCCCCTCCTTTCATAATAGAGCCAATGTATATGCCACCATCACCCCGGTCATTGCTCTGTCCTACAATGCTGATTCCCAGGAAGTTATACTTTTCTATACAGATAGAAAGTGGAGGGTAGGGGGGGAAAAAAGCAAACAAGGTGATTGGAATGATAGCGAAGAGCTAACACCAGGCTACTTCAGTCTTGAAAAATCAGTTCTCTCGACACATCAGCTGGGCCATGTTTGACTTACAATTATCTCAGGTTACCCTACTGGCGTATGTCTGCCTGGCACGTTCAGGGAAAGGCAGCAGGGAAATGCTGCTAAAGACATTTTTTCATACAGGACACTGAAAAGTTACATTCAAAAAATCAGCAAGAGAAATGACATTGAAAAGACATGTCTACACCTGGAAATTAAGCACCCAATCTGCATTAGGCAATGTTTTTTCCACACGTCAGACTGGCAGGAAGAATTTGGTGCTACCGAGAGGTGCTGAATCGGCCATCCTGCGCATTTCTATCTGGCTAAGCAATGAAATGCATGAGCAGCAGAAATGCAAACCTCCAGTGCCCTTCTACTCTTGCTCCTAACAATGTCTGACCCCTTCCCATTCCTAGAAATAAGAGCAGAACTCCATATCCTGGAGTTCTAGCTCCTTCCCTGGGCTTCTTGGGAAGAATATGGATCTGCTTGTGCCAACGGCTCAGTACTGGACTAGGAATCCAGGCACAGTCAACAGAGTAGCAACTCTCAGCTGCCATTCCCTCTAGTTCAGCTGGCATCCTTTCCAATCAAGGAACTTTCTACTGCCTCCAAAGGCTACGGCACCATGACAAAATACATGTGTATCAGTTGAAATTCATCACAAATAACATCACTTATCCTCTTACCCATGTTGAGTGTGACAGTGATGATATTTAGGGACATGGTAGAATCAGTGATGCTGCTGAACGAAGACGACTGCAAAATACAACAGAAAATTCTCAAGGTTTCAAATGGCTCAGAATAAGACAATAAAAAGAACTATTGAGGATTAATTAATTGGGAACTGATTAATAGGTTTCTGTTTGGAAGGCATTCAGAAACCATTGTGGTCTCCTCAAAATTATCCTTCATTTAGAATCTGTAAGGAAAAAAAATCTGAACACAATCTGCACTTTCTCCAAAGCTGTGTTTACAAAACACAGAGAGCAAGTTTCTACATTGAGATTGCTCAACTGAACTTCACGTTGAATCATTTCTGCTTCCTGACTACATGACCGACAGGCAGACATTTAAATACGAAAGTGCCCAGCGTAGTGTGAATTATTCCATCCATGGCTCCTCCCGAAAGAGAGAAGTGAACAACACATGATCCTTCAGGAACTGAGAAGACAGACACTCCCCCCCCCCACCAAATGAAATACAAATGTGCTTATCAAATATCTTCTAAAACATTACTCCAGTTCTTGTGATAAAATGTATGCATACTCATTCTTTAATCTGTGAAGACTGATATTTACAGGATAACGAAACAGTTACTTCAAGTATGCCGTCTGGACGATCCTCATTCTGCTACCATAGGACTAGCACAGAAAAGAGCAAGAGAAAAGATTTGCGATTTCCTATAAACATCGATTTCTCCTTTCAGCAGAATGCAAGTCTCAGCAATTTATACATCAGATGTCTAACGACACAGACACCCCCTGCCCACGTCAGCCAGTAGCATAATGGAGGTTCTCCTGTAGAGACTGGTCTTGAAAGAGACAACAAGAAATGCGATCACTTAACAGTAAAAGGAGAAAGGGAGAGGAGAAAAAGACTCTTGACTCTAGTGCTGCAGAAGTTCAAATGTTAGAGATTTAGTCCAGGGTAGACTGGAGTCAAAGGGAGCCTTTCCAATGAATTCAAGAGGGCACAGATCTGTTCTGAATCCCTTCCTAATTCACATGCTACACTCAAAATCACAGTTCACCTCCTTGGAAAATGATGATGCCAACCTTACCCTGTCAATCTGCCGCATCCTTTGTTTCCTCCTCCTGCGTTTATGCTTCCGTATGAGCCGGGATGAAGTACTTTGCTCAGTGGAGCTACTCAACCTGAGGAAAATTGAGAGCAAATGTCAACTCTGTAAAGCTGAGCCATTTGCATTTCTCTGCACCCTGCCAAAAAAAAAAAGGCCAATTCCTACAAATGCAGGAGAGAGTAAATCATATGGACACCATCAGCTAGCTTACAAGGTATTGCTCTCTTTGTTGCTGAACTGCTGCTCAGTCCCAGTGTGTGCTGTATCTTAGCCTCTGCCTAGGAGCACAGAGAAGATACCAGCTAAACTACAGCATGGATTAGAGAGTACAATTTACCAGCTTGCCTTCTTTTGGGAGCAAGACTGAATGCAACCCACATCTCAACAGGCATATAACACCCTGATTTTACCGCCCAAAGGTCAGAGGTAGCCATCTTCCACTACTTTAACAGTGGTCCTGACTCCAGGCCCATCAAAGAAAAACGCACGCTATAAGAACAGCTGTACACTAAATAATGATTTTAATCTCTGCTCTGAGAGAACAGACAATCTGGAGAATCTCTTAATATTCATTTTTGTGAGTCCTGTCATGGTGCTGTTATTTTCTGCTGCTGCTATCTACCCTGTTAACAGAAACTTAACATTGGGGCTTGAATTCAATGAAATAAAGTAGCAATTGATAATAGCCACTACCAAATAGTGACAGAGGAATAGTGAATGTGATTTACCTTTACATATTCTGTTAGCTTTATTTCGTTGTGGGTTTTTTTTTCAGGCTCTTCAAACTTGCAGAACCTAAATGTGCCACGTTCTACGTATAAATCCCCAAGATCCCCCTAAGAGTTAGGAATGTTAATCATTCTCATTTTACCAATAGTGGACTGAGACACAGAAAGACAAATGGATTTGCCCAAATTAATTTCAGAAGCCTGGAACAAAGCCTAGATTTCAGAGATATCGGTGTAACAACACAGAGGCATCTGTCCTCTATTTGTTACGTTAAGAACGGCAAAAAAATAGAGTAATGCTCCATCGTTAACCAAGATTAAAAAAACCCCAACCCTATACAACACAAGGAATTGAACTGGCACTGTCACAAAGAAAACAGTGCCAGTCTCTTTCCCCAGTCTCCATGTCCCTGTCTTCAAAGTTCTAGCCACATGCAGGAATACCAGAATGCTGCAAGCAACACTTGATACTACCAACTTCAAAAAGGAGCTTGCTGTCATGAGATTACAACCCACCACACTGGGAAACCCATCTTGCATAAAGTAGGTGTGTTTTAGGCGAGCATACCGAGCGGAATATTACAGATGATGGAACTGCTCAGAGGGTATGAATCTCTTGACATTCTCTTTGAGTTCCCAAAACTATTTCAGGCATGTTAACCTCACACACTCCTTTTTTCCCCTCCCAGCAAGGCAAATTAATTTAAGGAGCCAAGAGATGGCATTTTCAAGAGAGATCAAAAATTTGATAATTCTCCATCTGTGGAAACAGCTCACAGCACCTGGTTTTCTGAGGCTGAACCTTTTCAACAGGAAAAATAAAGAAGGCTCTCAGATGCAGGGCTCCCAAAATTGGACTTGTTAACATTCACCACTCATCTTGAAAGTACTGGCAAAGATTGACACAAAACCCTCCTAACCTTTTACTACCAATATTCTCCCCCTTCCTATTTCCCCTCCAGTTTCATTCTCCTCCTCTTCTCTCCCAGAACGCCTCATGAGTAGGAGTCAGACAAAACTTTCCAGCACACAACAGTTTAGGAGAAAGGCAAGGCGTGTTGCTCCCATCACAGTGAACCTGCCTGCTCTTTGAGAAGGGCAGCAAAGAGGCAAAAGACTGGGGGAGCTTTTCTGCGTGAACACAAGTCAAGCAACAAGACACCTTCAAAGGCTATGAGAGAGATCCGAGTGCCCTTCTGCCACTGATGAGAGTATGAATTCAGCACTCTCATCTGCAAGCAAACCCTCTGCCCACAGGCTCTATTCCCTGCTGCCGACAGAACACAAGGGTGGGAAAGCCCTGCTCTTTTGCATGATGAGGCAAGACTTTCCACTACTTTTGAAGACAGATGAGCTAGTCCATAACAGAAAGGACAAAACCTTAAAATTTTATCTGTTCTTTTGGCTACTATAATCGCACTTCAAAGTCATTCACAGCATTCAGGCAATTGATTTTCCTTGTTTACAGGCATATTTCACCTACTGCCATATCGTATTTTACGGCTTTATCCCAGTGTGCATCACTGAAGGAGTACGCAGTACTTCCTGACACCGACTTTTTTAGAATGGCATCCTCTATTGGTTACTATGGATAAAGAGAATTCATTAAATTCATACACGTAATTTCATGTATTCGGTTTCCCATTACTATGTCCCCTGAAAGGGGTAATGCTTCCGGCTAACATTGCCTACTGTAAAAAGCAATTTTAAGTTAGCAGTGTTCATATAGCAGCGAAAGAAAATGGAGAGGAAAAGCTACACTGAAAGCCACACCTGCCTGCAGCAGGAGATCATGCTGGGAATTCACCCAGTAGCAAAGTTCATCCTTCACTTTCCAGACAACGGGTGTTTTATCTGGATAGCAAGTTATGGAAACGAGGGATAGGAACAGTAGAGTTTCAGCAGACAGTTCACTGAATTTGTCTCCAGCAGTCTTGGCAGTGATCTGCTGCTATTTCACGGCACTTTACATCCTAAGAAGTAAGCAACTTAAAAGTACCTTCCAATGTATGTTACCATACTTCCTCTGTCAATGTTTTTCCTGATCACAGACAGCAGGTAAGATCTGCCGACTGCCGAGACTGACTGGCTATGCCAATTTCTTCCTCCTGCTCTAGTGCGCATCAATACTCAGAAAAACAAAGAACAATTATTTCCAGCTTTTAGTCTGATTTTCTAAAATTGGACTGGACAAAAATACCTTTTGCCAGCACTGAGTATCTCTAGAAAACAGAATTGCTCTCTGACTCCGAGTCCTTAAAAGGGATATTTTAATCCACCATCAAGTACGGGACACAAAAATACTTTCATTACTATCTTTAGAGAGATATATCAGGGATGAGTCCAAAAGGATGGACTGGAAAAAAAGAAGAAAAGTCTAAGTCACCGCAGAAAGGCAGAGAGAGCACAGCTGAGGTGATGAAGGTGTGAACAATTAGCTTATGCTAATATCGGCATCTTGTTCCTTCTTCACTTTTGCCCTCCCTACTTACTTGGGCAACTTGGGGGTGAGATTACTTTGGAAAATTCACTCCGTTCAGTATGCGACCAGAAGTTTAGATTCCTCTGTAAGCAGTGAACATTTTGGATTTTTCTTTGAAATTAAACCAGCAAAACCAAATACTGGCAAATCTCTGAACTTCTGTTACCAGATGATAATATGTGAGAAGTGAAGTTCTTCTATTCTGTGGTATTTTTTTCATTCTACTTCGCATTAGACTGGAAGAATGGAAATCAGTTCCTTAGAAAAGCCACAGTTCAGGCTTAGTTCAAGAGGACAGACAGTATTTTAGAGAAGTAGCTACTTGAGCTAAAACAGCCTCTCACATCAGTTGCACAAAATTGATGATCAGAATGCACTGCAGAAACATTTTTGTGTGCTTCTACATTGGCTTCCATATAGCTAAACATTAGAAAACGTTACTTATTGCACTGGAGGAACTGTGAATGGAGAGCTCGCTCAACTCAGTTTTTTCATCCCTCCTTGGGGGAAGCTGGACGATGACCGAAGTTGCCTTAATCAGCCTGCGTGTACGCAGAAGGCAAGACAGCCTGTATCGGCAAGACTCCCACACTGTGTGAAAGTGTATTTGTAAACAGCAGGTTTCACAGTCTCTGCAATTCCTGAGTCAAGCCTATATCTATTTTCATGTAGCTATGGTACCACTTCATCATCTCTTCCTGTAATTTCTTTTAAATCCATAGCCTTAATGCATCCTCGCTGAATCATTCATAAACACTGCATATCTCATATTCTAGGATTAGCTGGATGCTAAATAGCAGCTCAAACGCATTCTAATGAGGAGTAATATTTTGATCTCTGAAGTATCCCCAGAAATAAGTTATTATTACAATTTGATGAGCAAAACAAGATTTGAGCTTTTGGAAAAAATAAAGTGCAAAGATGAAAAACACATCTGGAATCATAACTACCAATTTCCTGCACTAGCTTCCGGCCAAAACCCTGACTGCGCTTCTAGCAGAAAGTCTAATAAATCCCACAGCAGACATTTTTAAAAAGAATAATAATAATTTGTCCAATCTACATTCCCTAAAGGAAGGAAAAAAAGGTAACAATTTGTTAAAGAAAGCTTATCCATATAGTCTAAAAAGAACTAATGTTAATTTCTTAAATGAGAAATAAACGTAACCAATTTTTTTGCAGTGAATTATTTTAGTTGCATTGAACTGAGAAGGCTAATTGCAAGTTGCTGACAATAATCCTACAGCTACAGATGCCATATCTACTACACCTTTCTTTGCTTAACAGAAGACAGAAATAAGACTCTTAAGGTAAAGTTTACCGCAAGCTCCCTACATCGATCTCTACTCAAAATACCACCTACTACCTGCAAATAACACTAACATTCCATTATATCATACTTTGAAAACAAAGGAAATAAATTATTGCACTCACACTACTTGAAGGGTTCTGTACGCTCCTGTAGTATTTGTGAATAAATTAATTCAGTGGAACAAAAAAATATTCTTTCTCTCTAACTAAATGCAACAGAACTTCCTTGGATTGGAAACTAACCACCTCTGCTGCACTGCTCCAAGTTAAAAATAAAATAACCCAATGTCAAACACACACTGTTAGAAAAGCATCCTCAGCCTTACAACCTCTTCACTTCCAAGACAGTAACATCCTTTTCATCTGACTCCTTCTCTCAGTGACCTCCTCCACGTACAGTCTCCTTTACAACGTAGGTTCTGACAGCAGAGTTCATCAGCCGTTATTAAACAAACTTACCCCCTTCAATCTCTTTTTCCTCAGGCCGCTGTCTCCAGCAGATCTGGAGCATGCTCGATTTTCTATTTGGCTGTATTTGCCTCTAAAGAAAACTTCTCCCTGCCAGCACAATGTCTCATCTGCTTGAGAACATCATCACCCTAACACAACAGCATACCTTGGAGCATTCCATTTAGTTGTTCTTCCCGACTAGCTGGCCTGGCAGCTATTCTGCATGCCAAAAGCTTCTGCCCTAGCCTAGAAAGGAAAAGGCCTGCACAGCAGCTTCGAAGAGTCTCTTTCTTCTCAGGTCAGACGCAGGAAGCTTTACTTTATTAATATAGAAAGATTTAGCTGGGTCCAGTATAATGTGCTTCGGTGGCCACCCTGACTGTGCTAATCCTGCCCTACTGCATATCTTGCTGCCATGGAAATGATTAATTTATTTACAAGAAACAAAATCAGCTGCGGGGTGGTGGTTGTTTTTGTGGGCTTCATTTTTTAGGGAGGGAAGGAGGGTTAGAAGCCCTGAAGGCTCCAGGAAGGCTTAGAGTATGTTCAGGTTAACTACGGATCTTGCCAACCCTTTATGCACATGAATATCCAGGTGAAGTACAAAGCATCCAGAAGGCTAATCTTCTGTATCTTCGGGTGTTGGCAACTTCACTGTAACTGCAAAATAAGTTCTTGAAACTAATGCAGGACCAAATCTTACATGTTCATTTAGTTACCCTTTCAACCCTTTGGAAACACCCAGCCTTTCAACAGAATTTGAAGGAACTGTTGTTCTTCAACAGGTTTTTAAGCTATGACTAACTGCAAGACCAAGTATATCCACTGAGTTTAATAAGCTAATAATCTGTTTGTAAACATCGCAAATATTAAAGTATCTCCAGGACTAGTTGTTCTTTGCTGTTTCCATTCTACCTAGAATTTAAAAATATCACGTTGCACCTTATTTGTTTTAGTGACAGATTTCTATGAACCACCAAAGATCTGTAATCTTCTTGTTCTCTGACAATTAATAGAAATCTGTAATGGGTTTTCATAGCTCATTTGGATGAACAACAGCTCTAGAGACAGCATTCAGAGAATGCTGCCACTGCAGCCAGGAAAGGGAAGAATATTAGTTTTGATTAATTTTACATCTTTAAAAATAGGTATTTTGAATCTGAGAAATGTATTGGTTTATAAACCTTTTACGGAACAACAAAAATATCTCTAGAGATTAACAAGCACGTCTTAAAATGAAGAGCTTTTTTGCAAAAAGCAAGGAATAACTCACATTCTCTCTGTCTGCACAAAAAGAAAAAAATAATTAAGAAGTCATAAATACAGCCTGCCTTTGCAATAGCATTAACTTTGATGAATTCCTGTACTGCTCATAGGTCTCAGACTATGCAATTACATAGGAATTCCTTTACAATTCAGCTTAGTGAAATGCATACTTATTAGGAACCTATGCTCAAGCTATTTTGTTACAATATTCACACCATTACCTTATAAACAGGCAGACAGTTGCACATTGCTTTGATCATACTTGCTATTAAAAGGAAAGAAGAGGAGCAGAATTTTTCTCTTAATTGGAATAGTGGCTATAGGCAGCTTGGATAGCAACCCCAATAGCTTAGCTTGTTTCTCAGAGCAGTGATTATATACAACATGATGTTACTGATGAATTCTGAGCACTCAAATCATAGGTAGCAGAAAAAAATAGAAGAAAGGACAATTAAAAAAAAAAAAGGAGGGGGAAAAAACAAAAAGAGAAGATATAAATCTTCTCATCTCGCCAGTCAGCATGTTTCAGGAAAGCCCAGAAATACAGTCAAGTGTCTGGGAAACAGATGCAAACAGTATTTAACAGCTCAGGCGCTATGCCAATGCCCTACCTGCTTGTGTTGTCATCATCATCAGAGTCAATGAAGCTGCTGGATTCCAGCTCACTACTCATCATGGTAGAAGAGCTGTCATAACCAGGAGGGTGCTCACGGTGTCTGTCCAGTTTCGGATGGCCATTGATCCGAGGGACTGTAAAAACAAAACAAACGGAGTATTACTAGGCAAAGAGGAAGAGCAAGGAAGAAGCGCCAGTGTGAGCAGCACCACATTCACACCGACAGCTGCAGGCAAGGCTGCAGGAGGATCCTTATGCTGAAACCAAGCTCTTTGCAGAACCTGATTTCATTCAACAGCTGGAAAGCCTACCGCCCTGGCTGGCCCACCTGCCTACCTACCTTTTTCCTAACTTTTTCCTGTCTATGGCTCAGTTCATGGGCAAGCCATAAATGGATCGAGGCAGAAGTAGCAGGCATGAGCAAGTACTATAGTGGTATTGAACATCAGCTAGAATGGCCATGAGAAGTTGATGTCAATAGGAAGGTACATATCTTGAAAAAGCAGCAGACAACACAATTTAAATTTGGTACGGATAGGCCTAGCAGCACAGAAAACATTAAACAACGTTCCTTGATGAGTTCTATTGATATCTCACCCATAAACCCACCCTTCCCTTGATCTGTGCTACGTGATCCTACCCCCATACCTACACCATCTTGTCTGGGCAGTACAGCTGCGTCAAAGTCGCATTGTCTTGACCATTCCACACACATAAGATGCTTCAGAACAATTTCTTACTAATCCCTGGCTGTGCGAATGTTGTCAGACACACGAACATTCCTGTAGATAATCCCCTCAGTAAGAATGCCATTTACTTGAAGGCAGCTGTAATTCATCTTTTTCTAGAGATATTTTATGGATTTTCCTCCGCAAAGGAAACTCTTCTGCCTGCTTCCTTTCACGGACCTCTCATTAGAAGACCCATAATCTGTAAGTGCTCTATTTTGCCAAGAATGCTTCTTTCCCTGAAACAAGAAAGGCTCAGCTTGATAAGGCACCTGGTCAAGAAATAAACATAACAGGCTTCAAACACAGACTGATATTTTAAAACACACTCTCCAAACTCACAACTCCCTCCCAGGTCCAGGGGATCTGCTCTTCAATTACGTAACAGAAAACTTTCATAAAGGAGGAATGTCTGCAGTAGGAATTATACATGATGCTGTGCAACTGTACACGTTGAAAGTCAATCGACAGTTCTTTCTATTACAGTAACGTGGTTTGAAAAACCAAGAGCCACCCTAAATACCTGGCTGTGAAGTCCACCGTGGCGAGCCTTCACTCCTCTGTTTCAAATTGCTCAGCAGTGAAATACAAAAACTGATCGGTTTTCTTCCTGCCTGAGGAATGTGGGCCTAATTATTTATGTCCATAAAGGGTTTTAAGAGATTCAATAAAAGGTAATAGACATATATAAGATTTCATCTCCATTTTTTATACATATATCTAAACCATTCATTTCTGCAAAGTGAAATAATTGAAGCATAACGCTGCAACAAATTCTCCTGCTGTGTCACCTCCTTATCCTGGTTGATCACCCAGCTTCTAGACACATCTATACGTAGACAAAGTGGCTCTGAAAACACTTAAACCGGCTACCCAAGAAGACCAAATCTTCCTTCAAGTCACAGAGCAAAACCAAAGCTCCATCCCTCCCGCAATAGCACTGAGCTTTGGTTTGAAGAGAAGCTGAACAGCAGCATCCCTTCATCAACCTTTTCAGAACTGATACTTGTTTTTCATTTTGCCATATGCTGAGATGATACCATTTATTCAAGCCTTGAATCCTCTTCTGAAACTAGCACATACGAGTAATGATGAGTCAGGGACCGGCTGCTGTCCTCTAGGAACTGCCTCAAAGTCAAAGGCTATGTGGTGTTAAAAAAAATGAAGCTTACCAGGTTTCAATTTCAGGCTCTGCCTCCAGAGCTCCTTATTCCTCGCGTTCCCATGCCTCACTTCCCCATGTGTAACATGGAGACACAACAGCATTTGCCAGAACTTTTTAGACTGCGCATTCTACAGCGCAGAAAGCCTCTCCTCCCGTAATCTGGTCATCACAACTACCCCAATGGGCTCCCAGTACCAGGTGGTAACACTAGATCTCAATGAAAACCAATTAATCAGCTTGTCAACAGCAACTCGAGACTTCAGAATGACAACTCTTCATAGACACAGTGGGAAGAAAGCATTTAAAGGCCTGAAGTTTCAGTTCTGTCTGAATAAATGAGTGTTCATCGGTTTCCTCAAACTCTACAATCTAATCTAAACTGGAACTTCACTATTAATGTGCTTCTTTTGGTACCACAGATGACTAGCTGAAAATAAAGTACCTTCAGGAATCCCACATCCACACTCGAATAGTCTCCTAGCTCTGCCTTTAAACTAACATCTAAAGAGCAACCAATTATGCCTGCATATGCCAGACGTATACACATAAAAAGAAACACAGAGGCTGGCCAAATTTTACTCCTTCTAAGCTGGCACTAACAGCTTAGAGGGAATATCTCATCCAGACAGCGTAGAAACCAATACAGCTGTTTGTGGCATCGCTAGTGAGGAGGTCAAGACTATATTGCATTGCTGCTGCTCATCGGGAACAGGCAACTTGGACCACTGAGAGCCAAGGTCAAGTAATCCATTCTACAGAGTCCCTGAATGTTCACCCCAGCCACTCATCCAGGCTTTAAAAAAAACCCAATTCTTTCAAAGATGCTTTCATCCATAAGAAAAACAGGGGAAAAAAGGAGAAGGGAAAAGATATCCAGATTCTAAGGCTGAAAAACAGCACTTTTCAGCAAATTAATAGGCTTTAGACAGTCAGAGTTCTCTCTTTTAAGACTAAGGAGAACGTCACAGACTTGAACAATTAAAATGCCTCCTTTTCTTGTGCTACAAATCCACTTTTTAAGTCTTTATATAGTGGAGCCTAGAGTTCAAAACACTTCACTGGATCTGGAAACCTGGATGGTAATCCAGCATCGGACCAATTCAACTCAATCTCTTCAGCCTCAGCTTAAGTATAAAACCAAGCCCAGCCACCTTGTCCATTTATTCTTTGCTTCTACACAATGAAACATCAGAAACTGTGGAGCGAATTAAAGCCTCTTATTCCAACAGATTGCATAACCCAAATATGCATTCACTGGAACCAGTACTGGAACAGCTAATAATTGACATTGGCACCGCTATCTAGCAGCCAGATCACTTTCAGGGAAGTAAAGCATTCCATACTCTGACCTCCTTGTCTCCCTTCTAAACACACTTCACCTTTAAGCCTAATTTCAGGAGCAATTCTTGGCTTGCAAGAATATCACCACCAACAAACCAGTATGCTGGAGTACCAGAACGCTTTCAACACTATCACCCTTACAAGCTCTGCACAGTTTTCCTGAAGGGGGAATGACACCCAGGAAAAGGTGGTGACATACGTACAGTGGCTTGTGGTAAAGCGTTCGTGATTCTGAGTTATGAGGGACAGAGACTCTCACCAAATGCAAATCCAACACAGTCCCAAGGAACTTCGAGTTGGCTGCTGATTACTCAAGTCTTGCTTCCACTGACGTTTCCCTTCCGACTTCGACGGGAAGTGACAGCAAACCCTAGAAATGTACTGGCTGGCACACAACTGACAACAAATCTATCATCTTTGCCCCTTCTGAGTTTTAAATTTCTGTTTTTCATAGAGGAGCAGTATATAAGCTAGAACAGATGGAAGTCAAAACATCAGCCATGGAGAAAACTGACTTATGTTTCTCCACTTGAAAAATCCCTTCTTTTTTATTACTGTGCTTGTTTCTCCTGCATTCCCCTGCTATTCATCACTTGCAACTTATAAAAGTAATCACATCAATGCTGGGTGATAATGCTGATTTCATTTGGAGAAGCTGACAGTGAACAGAGCCCTGATATGAAAAACAAGCCCCTGCCAGAAGCGGCTTTCCCAGCTCTGATCGGGTGGGTGGCAGATTACAGAAAACAATGACCTGGATTTTATCCACATTTAACTGGTATAAATAGGAAGCAAATTTGGGCAGCATGTTTCTCTCATCAGAGATACTTTATTTACATTTGGCTTTGATTATTATTAAGTATACAGCCCAGAAAGAAAGTTGCCAGCATGATTTTGTAATCTTTCTCTGCAAAACTAGTCTGTTTATGCAGCTGGGGAAGGAGGGAGGGCGCCTCTGGTGATCAATAGGTGGGTTGTCTCAAGTGCCCACTAGAAATCACCAGTCCTGTCTCTCCCATCACGGGTCACGATTATTAGACCATGCAGAGTCTTCATTTCATTCCAAGTGGGTGGTCTAAAAGCTTTCACTCTTGTGGACCTTTTCCACTCTAAAACTCCATCCTGCATTCACTCCTCTGCTGAGAATTCTGGATGTCATCAACTGGGGAGCATTAAAGGTAGATAGCTACAGACTGCCGTCTCCAAGCTCTCAACCAGACCGTGCACAGCTGGCAATGAGGACGGCTATGAAATCAGGACATGTTTCAGCGTCACATCTCATCCATTGTGCGTTACTTATTCAGAAAAATTTTGTCCTTAAAAACATTATGAGCAGATTGCTATTTTATTGAATTTGCAATTCAGAGTCATTTGCCTAACACTTTCAATAGATCAAACTCTGTAACTCAGCTGATTTGTTTTTCATGTCTCTGACCACTGGACACCATGATCAGCAGTTGCCTGTTGTTTCACTGCTAGTAAGAAACTTCCCAACGCCAAATCTGAATTTGCTTCCTGCTAGCATCCCAAAAGACCGTTCTCGTGCTGTCTCTAAGCAAGCTTCCTTCAAAATTTAACTTTATATTTATGGCACTAAAAAATAAAGTAATTGAGCTGTCACCCAGCTCTAACTGGGCTCAAATACAAGCTTTCTGACTCTATTGCACTGTTCTCATCAGTATTTTTTATACGAAATGCTCTTCCTCTCCTGCTTGGCCTAAGATATACCAAGGATTACAGCACAGCAGGCACATAAAACACACTGTGATTACTTTGCAGTCTACACAATTATTGACAGGAGCTGAAACCTTTTGGCTTCCCAGAACATCCTACAGTTTAAATTTCCCCCATGTACGTTTGCTGTTGTTTCAGAGACTATGAACTTGAAGCTAGGACTTAC